TTATGACAAACGGATACATAAATCGTAAATTTAAGGAAAATAAATTCTAGAGCTTTTTCTGTACCTGGTGCATCTCTCTCATTCATTAAATTTAGTTGTAAATGATGCTACCAAAGTAACAGTTAATTTTTTAACATTATACAAGAATTGTACACGTTTTTTTCTACATCCCCTTAAAGATGGGATGTACGAAATCGTAATATCACTGGTTTAACATCGAAATCCGTGAGTAATATAAAATCGGAAAGCGGAATAAATATATCAAATATTTTAATGGATTTTTTTAACTCCTGTCAACTATACAGAACTATCGTAAAAACATACCAGTAAATTCTTATCGGTTGGGTTAAGTTATAAATCTACTCGTTATTCACGTAATCGAAATATCTAGTGGGCAGGCGGCTAACAGCCGAGAACCGGTCTTTGATAGAATTGGAATCTTTATATGTGTGTAGCATCAACCCAAGGTCGTAGGCTTCCACCGGCTATACCGGGTGAGGTTGGTGCTCTGTAAAGCGCACGCGCAAATCTGGCTTTTTGGAATCTGAAAATTCAGAGATTCCACTCCGCCACTAATATTCGAATATACAAAAGCAATTTTTTTTCACGTGTAGTATAGAAATTTGTAATAAGATACGTAATGCGGTTATAATAAAATATTGTGCGATTATTTTCATATAAATAAAATTAACATTTATTTATTTTTTAGAAAATACGAGGGAAGCGGCGCTTCCACTGCTTCTAATGACGGCACGACACTGATTTTTAGGCTTCGGGCAGACCGCTTTATATCGAATCAGCGTTAAGCAGGGTTTTACTGTACTTTAATTTCCTTCCGCAACAGTTCCTTCTTTTTTCGTATGGTGGCATTGAAATAGGAAAATTACGTAATACCAGGTTGCCTGCCAACACAAAATATGTTTTAAGTGGTTTTCCAGGGTACCGATTTTAAATATTTGGTCAGTTTTTTTTTTTTTGCGAAATTTGATTCGTTCGATGGTACAGTTTCTTAGTTAACATTAGGAAAAATTATGATATCTGAAAAAATTTAAGATATCACATTTTCAAATCCTATCTACTTGACCATTGAAAGTGTGCTATTTTGTACTGTACCATCCAAGTATGGCGTTAAACATGACAATGGTAGAATAAAATAACCAAACTCTTTATATGGTTTTACTTTTAATATTTGTTATATACTGTAATATAATATATTACAGTATTTGATTTGACGTAAGGGTTGATCACACCGAGTGAACAATCTAAGATAATTTAAAGAATTTTTAAAATGTGTTAGATTGATCACTTGGTGTGATAAACCCTTATATAAGATAACATTTGTATATAAATCAAATAATATAATATAATATAATAGAAGGATTAGAAGTAGGAAATAATGTTATAATCTTAATGTTTGTTGTTATTTTTTTCCCGGGCAATGCTGGGAAAAATATCTCCTAGAGTGCTTATAATCAAGAGTTTTAATTTCAAAAGTTTATAATATCCAACAATAAATTTTAATTGTTTTAAATTATGATAAAATAGTGATATAAAAATTTGCCAAGACAACTTTTAATCTTTGTTTTACAAAGAAACTTTTACAAATATCCGATGTCACGGGTACAGACCCGTAGCTACGAGGCGGCTAACCTACTCAGCTTGGTCAGTAATGTCCATATCAATTACACATAACATGCTTTTTCTTTCATCAAGTAAATTTAAACTATTGTTACTTATTTTTACACTTAAGCTACGCCTAACACAAGCTGGAAAAAAATATCAGTCACAATTTTTTCAGCTTGTCCTCAATGATTTATTCCCGGCTAAGGGACTGCACAGGAACTTCTAAACAATTTGCATAAGGTCGATTCCACTAGCGTTAAGTTTATTCCTATAATTGTGAATGGACGTTCAGAAAACCAAATTTTTTTTTGTATTTAGTCTTCAATATTATACTTTTTAAACTTACATATTATGTTAGACATTTTTTTAAAGTCGTGTTTCTTATTATATAATTGAATGAATATTTTAAAAACTTTTTCACATGTGAACGTTCTTATAGGTTTCATAATTGAAACTATATAATTACTTTTTGATTATTATCATTTTTCTGTGCTTTACATTTGATTTTGTAATTTCTGTAAAATCATATCCTAAAATCTGATAATAATAGATCCTTTCTATTTAAAAATATTTTAAAAATTTTAAAATATTTTTAAAAATTCTAGACTTTCTATTTAAAAATAATAATTTCAAAAATAATGAATAAAAAATTTTTCCAAATAATTTTATCGATCGAATTTTAGATAAGTTTGTTTTTCATGTTAGCATGAAGACAAACAGTTAACTCTAATAATAGTAGAGATGAGCGAGATCAACGACCTTCAAATAGAGCAATCCTGCTAGTTACCCACCATAGTTCATTCTAATTGAAATCTCAGTCGTCCCGATACTTGTAGGAAATATAGCGATTTATAAATTATAGGAATACAATTTTTGAAAATGTTTATATTATAAATAAATAATTACATTTTCTCAAAAACATTATAATTATCCTACGTGTAGAAAGCATAAAATAATTTTAAGAAATGTATTGATTGAAACTAGAAATTAAGAGTAATTTTTACTTTTGCGGCTGTTAAATGTAACAGAGAGAAAATATGACTATCAGTCAAAAAATGTCCCCAAAATTTTTACGTTTTTGAACTTATGACACCTTGAACGTCGAGAAATGCAAAAACAATTGGGAAAGTTAAAGGGGGAGATAATGGAGATTGTGTGTATCTCCAGTAGGATTGGTATTAATGACGATTTTACTCGTTATTAGCATTTACAATGTTTTATAAAACCCATCCCTACCGACATAAAATTAAACTTTATGCCTCTTTTTTACAGATAAAAATATAAAGGTTTTTTTAATTTTTAAACAAAATATGATAACAGATGGCTCCACCAAAACTTTAAATGTTTCCGGGAAAGTTCAGCAACCCGTTGCTGGTTTAAAATATTCTCAACATCTACAGTTTTATAATTGAGATACATACATTCATTATATTTTTTTCAGAGATATGGATATATTAGGCAAAATGTGAATGACTTATTTCTTATTTACAGTCAAATCTCGATATAAAGATTATCGATATAACAAGAAATAATTCCGTCATAACAATACGAATATATAATTCCCTACGCAATTCATATTCGCTTAACTTTACGTAAAACATCTCTAGAATAAATGATATCCTATATTGCTATAAATCTCTGCTCAGCAGTAATTTTTTTCGTTTTTTATTCTACTCATAAAATGCAATACATTTTCCTTTATCTACAACAAAAATAATGCAAAATTAAATTTTAATTTGTCCTTCGTTTTTAGAATGAAAATGTAGTACTCTCTTAATACAACGATTCCAGCACAAACGTTACTTGCAGTCAGTAGGCGTAAGTGATAGATGTGGGTGTTTCCAGTTCGGAACTGTTTTCGGACTCGGAAGTATAGGAACAGTTCCATACAGAGTAACACTCTGTATGGAACTGTTCCTATCAGTTCCGGCCGGAATACTAACGCGTTCTTCATTTTATAGTTTTAAGAATACGGTTTTCACGGAGCGGTGAACTCCATTTGGATTTGTTCATAAACTAAATGAAAGTTCTATAAGATTTTAGGAAGAATCAAATTAGTTTAAAGAATTTTAAATCTATAAAAGATATTTTAAAAATTTATATTTTTGTTAGAGTTTGGTATTATTTGTTTTATTAGTAACTGGCAAATATGTCCGTCATTACCCGGCCAAAAAATAAGATAGCTAAACGTTAAAATGAAAACCATATTATAAATTTGGTTATTTAGCCTAGAGTTATTATATTTATCACAAAGTGTCAAGGAAATCAAATCGGGGAAGAATGGGATGCCCAGATTTCACGGTAGTCTATATTTTTCTCAGAATTCCAGAGAATAAGTATGAAAAATTTGGTGCAGATCGGACAAAGGGCTTAGGAGCTAATAAGGGACGTTGAAATCAGGAGAGGGGGTAGGGTGTCCACTTTCATTACAGTTTATATTTTCCTCAGAGTCTGAGTTAAGCAAGAATAATTTGGCACAGATTGACCAAAAAGCTAAAAACAGAGAGACACAAACATTCTATTCTTCGTTTTAGCTTTTTCTCATGTTTATATTGGGTAAGCATTCCCATCTTTAGTCTGTCTTCTCTACTTCTCTCTATCCAGGGCGTATTCTCTCTTCCATCCTCTCTGTCCTAAATCCTCTGTCACTTTATCTCTCCATCTCAGCTTCCACACTTCCTTTTCCCTATCACTTCCAACTTCTCAATTCTCTTTTCAACATAGTCCTCACTTCTGTCCACAAGTCCAAACAATCTTAATCTACTTTCCTGTATCTTCTTACCTGTAAGTCTCACCTTGACTTATGTAATCATTCCTAATTCTGTCCTTCGTCATACATCCATCTTAGCATTCTCATGTCCGCCGTGTACATCTTTTCCTGCGCTCTTGTAATTGTCCGCGTCTCAGCACTGTACATCATTGCATGTCTTACCACGGTTTTGTATAATCTTCCTTTCATATTGCTGGTTATTATCAAACAGCACCCCATTCATCTTTCTCCAGTTCAGCCATCCACTCCGAACTCTATACCGGATTTCTGCACTCATTCCTCCATCACTTGCTACATATGATTTAAGATACTTAAATTTGGAAGCTGTTATTAACTTTTCACCTTTGAGTTGTATATAACTCTCATTTCCTCCACCAGATGTCATATAGGCCTATACTGTCTTTGCTTTGCTGATCTTCACGCCTTCTCTTCCAGCTCTTTTCTCTCCATTACTCCAGCTTCTTTACCTTATCTCGGAATGTTTCGCATAGCGCAATGTTGTCCGCAAACAACATACTCCATAGTGCCATGATATTCACATCTTCCACCATACATTAATCACCAAATCGTAAAGAAAAGGACTAAGGGCTGAGCCCTTAGCCCTATTCTATTCGATTTGCAGTCCAACTCTCACAGTGAATCCCTCTGTCACACCTACGTTACTCTTTACTTGAGTCATTGCTCTTTTATACATTTCTTTTACAAGTCTTACATACTTTTCTGGTATTTCCTTTACCCTCATACATCTACATACCTTATGTGTAGGCACCCTTTCGTACACTTTCTCCTGATCTATGAATACCTTGTGCTGTTCTGTCTGCATCTCTCTGTACCTTTCCATCAGCTGCTTTAGAGCAAAGATCGTATCTGTTATTCCTCTTCCGGGCATGAAACCAAACTGTTCCTCACTTACCAAGCTGTCTCTTGCCTTCCACAATTCTCTCCAAGATCCTTATTGAATACGTCATCAATTAAATTCTTCTGTAATTCCCACATCCTTGCACCATCTCCTTTTCCTTTATAAATTGGCACCAAAATATTTTTCCTCCATTCATCTGGTATTCTCTCTTGTTCTCACCGCTTTTTCATAAGATCCCATACAATACCAACACCCTCTTCGCTCAAACATCTCCATACCTTAGCTGGGATCTGATCAGCCTTAAATAATTCTTCCATCTTTACTTTATCTTCTTTTGGTCTTGTAACACTTTATCATTTTTATCTTTTATCTGTTTTATTGACGTAGAATCATTTGATGCCTTTGTTCCTCGCTTTCATAATTCTTATTAGTTACCCATCCTCATCTTTTCTAGGACAAACATTTTATTATATATACATGACCAAAGAAGAACCGTCTAGTCCAGGGGTGGCCAACCTGCGGCTCGCGAGCCACATGCGGTTCTTTGAAGGATTATTTGTGGCTCTCGATAAATGTACCCAAGTTCCCTTTTCATTTTTGTGTTATTATATTTAAAAAAATTATTATTGTTCCGTATGTGTTTCAAAATGTCTTTTAAATTACTAACAACAAATATGAAAGACTAAGTGCAACGTTGTAACAAATTTCATTTCCGTCCAAGTTAAGAATGATATGACTCATCGAAAACTGCGCGAACGAACATAAGCAGT